CCCAATTCTGGCTTCAGCTCGTCAAAGTTCGCCTGATATTTCAGTCTTTGGTGAAGTTTATTGTCAGGAATGGAAAGTCTACTTGCTTTTGGTTAGATTGGTGGTATGGGGAAGCCACCCTTACGGTGACGTTTTCAGTTTTGTTTTCTTACTGCTCTAACCCGGAGATCTCTATTTTGAGCTCTCGGTGAATAATTGGGATATGGACCTCCGTAGAACGCTATCTCCTGAAGAGTTGGAAGACTGGAATCATCTTACTGCTTGCTTCCCTTTGCTCTCAGGGGAAGAGGACTCGGTGGTCTGACCCCATTCTGCCTCTGGTCGCTTTTCGGTTAAGTCTTTGTATGCTAAACTTATTTCGGGCTTTCCCACTTCCAAGTACAAGTGCATTTGGAGCGCCCACGTCCCTCCTAAGATCAAAATTTTTCGGTGGCAAGCTTTTCGTGGGAAGCTTCCCGCGGCGGACCAAATCCGGAAAAGAAATGGCCTGGGCTCGGACAGATGCGCCATGTGCGGAGACCCTGCGAACACTGATCACATCTTCTTCCGGTGTTCCTTGGCTAAATTTGTGTGGTGCTGTATCCGCTCTTGGCTACATGTGGCATGGAACCCCTCTTCTTTCATGGAGCTTAGGGGATTGGTCAATGGCTTGTCTGGGCATTCTAAAAGGGTCTTCTGGGTTGGGTTTGCGGCGATTTGTTGGTCGCTGTGGACCACTAGAAACAAGTTTACCATTGAGCATGTCTTCCCGGCTAATCCTTTCGATTGCTTATTTAAAACTGGTATGATCCTGCAGCAGTGGAGATCATTGACTAGGGATGTTGATCACGAGGCCTTCGATACTATGGTGTCCAAGATTTGGGCTACGACTTCCTCCTTGGAGCGCAGACATCGCGAAGCTTCTTAACCATGGCGTCTACTTTGTTATCTTAGTTCTGGCCTGCGTGCCTTGATTGGCTGGTTAGCCATGTATCCGAACTCCTTTTTTTGTCTGCCTTGTTACTGTGTTGCTTGGGTGTTGGTTGTGCTACTCTGCCTGATGACTTTATTTATAAAGTCGGGCGTATGCCTTTTATCTAAAAACTATCATTAACTGAGATGTTGGAGTGCCAACATGTCACTTGTAGAACATTTCGCCATGTTAGATTTGGCTGTAAGAGGGCATTTCCACACATTGCATTAAGCAACAGGCACGCTTGCGAAGAAAAAGGTTGTGATGTGTTTTCCGTATCCATGGATATTGAATATATAATTTACAAACAAAAATCAATAGTGATAGCATGAACCTTATGGACTTCACATCTCATCATTTGTTGCCATTGCTCCCGCAACCACCGCCACCGGATGTGCAGGAGATGAAGGCAAACATAATACTTTTGATTCCATGTCTCATCACGTGTTGCACACATCATCGTGGTGGTACAGGAAATAAACCACAGAGCCACACCTGTCTAGAAGACCTAGCAGCTACCCTAGATCGATCCCTCATAGTTGGCCTATCATGTGGCTTTAGTGATGGCATCCTTATTGGATGAGGACGCATACACACAATGTTACGAAGGCTTGTGCCAGCATAGACGAGCGGAGTCATATTATCCGCTTGCTCGCAGAGGCACACGAGAAACACATGGCTTGATTATCTTCATGTTGTCTACGTCCCTCTGATGCATTATTCTGTTTATGATAGTAGATAAGTGACAATGTGATGCTCATCATCGATGCCGTAACACTGGTGGCCATGAGCACCATGTCTCATGCGAGGTGGTTGCACCATAACGACGGTTGGATGCAAATCTGAGTAAACTGCACACACTGACCAATTCACCAATAAGTTTTAGCGGACCGACAAGGACGGGAGATGTATTTCAACCCTTCTCCCTGTCCTCTAGGCTCCATCATGTCTTAGGATTACAGCTGATGAATGTCGGATTTTTTTAAAAGAATATTGCACATGGGCCTTGAAGTTAATACATCACCGTTCTATCATCATATTAATAGCAGTTTTAACATGGTCCCTCTTACCCCCTCTTTTCACATGAGAGGTAAAAGTATAAAATAGATCTTAGCTGTTGATCTCATCAATGAATGGCTTGATTGACTCTTACCTTCTTACCTCAAATATTTAAATTGTACTCCCCCGTTACTAAAACTACTAACTTTATACTAAATATGCGACACTTATGACTTTGTACTAAATCTACGACACTTAGTTTGAGACGGAGAAAGTATGAAAGTCCGATAATGGAAAAAATATGGGCCATATATTTCAACACATGTAGCATATAACTGTTTTTCACATTTTGTTTCATGTATCTGCAACTAGACAGTTTTTAAATATTTAATAAGAAAATTAATAGTTGAAATAATCTATTTTTTGCAGGAAAAACTTCAGATCTATTTATCAAACATCTTAATAGTACAAGGAACACCAGAAGTAAAAGAAAACACGTCCAGGTGCGTAGACCATCAACGACCACTACAATTCAAATAATCTACTTAAAGTCTTTTTTTTGTGAGAAATCTACTTTAAAGTCTAACCACAGTATACAAAGTACATTTGTACACCTAACTAGGAAGATTCTTGCAACATACCAGCGTACTTGCACAACAACTGGCTGCGGTACGTAGCTGGTCTCATACTCCCATTGACATTTGAGCGTGACTTGCCTCACTGGTCGGCGTGCCATTAATCACAACACGGCAAATAGCATCATCATTGATCCGTGTATGGGTGGGCCTGGCTAGGCAACACCAACACAACGAAGCGGCATTTCCTCCCGATGCGCTATTGCGTACCGCAAAGAATCAACAGTGCCAGCACACATTTTTTCCGGAGGAAGACGACGAGGAGAGAACAATCACTGGTCAAGACTTATCCATCAGAGCTATCAAAGCCGGACCAAACACACAACGTACGTGTGCCATCGGTTGCACCCGCAGGCGCACAGATGGATTTTCGTCCGAAATAGGGACTCCTCCCCGTCCAGAACGTGCGTGTGTTCTATAGAAATTTGTGTCAAACATTCAAGTTTTGGCCATTTTGTTCTCCCTATGTTTGTTAGCTTAAAAGAGAGTATGTTACGTGCTAGTGAAGTTTGTGAAACACGTGTGCCGGTACTTGGAACGATGTTCGACATAGAAGGATGCACGTCCATGTCAAATATTGTGACCACTTTAATTGTCAAGGTTTGATTCTACGCTTAAATAATTAAGGGATCGCCTACTTCACAGCTGCCTGAAGTTTTTCTTATGAGGTGTGGGATCAACATCCAATGATTGTGTTTTAACCATATTAAATCGATGGTTTCTTTGCCGGCTCGGTATCTCGGAAATGCTCATAGAGGTATGATGTCTACGCCCGTTCATAGGATTGAGTGTTCGTGCGTATTTTGAACATACATGCATTTACCGTGTTTGGAGACACAAAACTGCAAGGTGAAAAATTTGAAGGAGGAGCAGGTTGCCCTGTGAGAATTGTAGTCGTTCGGTAGCTCTCGCCGTTGGAAGAAGACATGCATACATTTTCTTGAACCAAGTAAATTTTGCTATCCTAGAACTACATGCAAAACTAAGATTTTTTTTCAAGGTAACGTCCCTCGCTCCTTGCAAAATTGGAAATTCTCTTGCTTTCTTTTGCCATGCTATGCACCCAAATACCAATTTTACGCGCCACTGTATTATTAGATCATCTTTGGAGTGTAGGAATTAGAAAATATAGAATATAAAAACTCAGAATTGAGATGTCTCGATTCCTCGTTGATTAATTTCAAAACACAATAATGTTGCAGCGCATGCCCTTGGATGTTGCAATGGTGGTAAATGCAAATAATTATGGAGGGTTGAAGAGACATGCTAGAAATAGATGTATTGAACTTCTCAAAGAAAAAACAAAGGATGAGCTCATGTCAAAATTCTAATGGACTAGAGGGCATGGGTATATGCATTCCAAAGGAATTTTGCATATCATTCATATGATCCATATACCTTTACGAAACACTTGATCGCTAATATTTATTGCTAATGAGATTTCGTATAGAACACAATGTCAGAGAAACCAATCATACATGGAACATGAGGAAACAAGAGAAAAAGTGAGGCGAGCCTTCCTTTATGCCATAAAAGAGAGGAGGGCTTGGGGTCAAGGTTTAGAAATTGTGCCTAATACAAAAGTAAGGACAGTTGATGCACCACAAAAGGTATTGATGCCAAGATATTGTGATCTCTCTGTCCTGTCCTTGGCAGACGGATCGATCTTTCGTATATGATCAGCTCGAACACCCATGCACTTGTTGATCCAAACGCCCCTTATAGACAAAATTTGAAAGATTAAAAAAATCTCTAACCTACCATGAAAACCCTACAATCTAAGGATGTCCTCCATCTTTTGTTAAAAAGAAACGAAACCCTCCATCTTTCGACAAAACAGAAACGAGGCCCTCCATTAATATTATATTTCGAAACGCCACTAGTTTTCCCTTTATACATTTTCTATGATTTTTTTTCAGGTTCTTGCATCCACCAGGAGTGCACTTGTTTCGTAGTGGATTTGCTGAGACACGGTGAAACATTATGATACGCTTTGAAACAAGAAGAAACCCTAATGCAATACACTGAACTAAACAAACTACGCCAAAATCCAAAAATGTGGCATGAATAAAGCAACACGGACGGTGGGTCAATGTCCCCTACATTGTAAAATATAATTTCTCCTTTTCTAATTGTACGTTTCTGTTTGTGAATTCTAAACGGGCCTGAAATTATGCTCTCACCTTACTGATATACATACTCGTGTATATATCCAAGGTTGGCATGCGGTAAGCTATGTTCTTCCACCGTAAAATGTTGGCACCCGTCAGCTCATCACGCAGGGCACCCTATAATAACCCCTGCCAACCACCACAACACCAGTGCACACAACACAACTCGCTAGCCAAGCCTGGGAAGCTAGAAGTAGAAGTGCAAGCTACCTTAGAGCTCGTGCGGTGGCCTAGCTGCCAGCCATGGAGAACCCGTACACGACCTTCCTCAAGAACTACCGTCAGCACCGCTACTACTTCTCACCCACGCCGGTGCCGGCGCCAGTGGCGTCGACGACGGCGCCTCCTCCGGTCTCCGCCTACTCCTCCAGCCCCTTCTTCTCCCCGCCGCCGCCTCCTCCTCCTACTACGCCGTCGTCTCCTCCGCTCCGGGAAGCCCTGCCCCTTCTCTCTCTCGCCCCCGCCTCCCGCAGGTCTCGGGAGCGGGGGCGCGGCCCCGGCCCGGACGACTCCGACGACGGCGACGACGACGTCGACGAGGAGGAGAGGAAACAAGCGCCGGGCCCAGCCGCGAGCAGTAGCCTGCACCACAATCAGCAGCTCGCGGGACGGCAGCTCTTTGCGGACCTGAACTCCAAGGCGACCGACGACCCGATGGACTCGGCGGCCGGCGGCGCGGCGGGGGACGTGACGGTGGCGCTGCATATAGGCCTGCCGAGCGCCGGCACCGCCGCCGACCTCATCTCCGGGATCTCCGCCGCAGCTAGGGCGGCGAGGGATGACGAGGAGGAAGAGGACGACCGCCTTAATAAGGAGCTGAGCGGCGGCTGCGCTGAGGAGGACGGGGATGACGACGGCGAGAACGAGGCGGCCGTGGCGCCGGTGCTAGGGTTCGCTTCGACGCCGATCGGGCGGCTGAACAAGGGGCAGTACTGGATCCCGACGCCGACGCAGATCCTCATCGGCCCGACGCAGTTCTCCTGCCCTGTCTGCTTCAAGACCTTCAATCGATACAACAACATGCAGGTGAGCCCCTGGCCACACACACCTTCAAGAATTAAGCGTTAATTTTCCGTTCTTAGCAACATTTTGATCTCGATCGACTACTAAAACGGGTTAATTCTCTAGATTTTAACCATGATATATACACGAACTGGACCGGCGGCGGTTAATTATATATCAAATTAAACCCCTTATATTTTGTTCATAACAACATACTAGTGATTTTTTTTTGCGTGAAATTCGAGTGATTTATTTGATAGAACAAAACATACTAGTTGTGTTGATCCCATTTTGTTGGGAGTCGAACAATTTTGGAGCTCCTGTTTTCTCCAGCACAGTTGGATGGATCGATCCTAGCAAGTCCCTAACTGGAATTACCTACCAATAAATGCTGTAGCTGTTGCCTGCGGGTAGGTTAAAATAAATAAAGTTCTACTAGTACTACTACCACAGTTGTGAAGCTAGCGAACAAGAGTGATGAGACTTGAACGAACACTACAGCTCGCAGCGTGTAATTGCACGGGAGGCCGGGAGCTGATCTTTTGCCGGGAATAAAGTTAGACGAGCGACATCACGTCGGATTCGTTACGCCTGTGTTGGTCCCGTTACCGTATGCTTCCGGCCGTTAGCTAGCTTCGAGTCGAGCTGCCAATATAAAACCTGAAATTATTAATCAATCGTACGCCTCGCCGTGACATCCACCTACCATTGTTCACGCATGTGCTATATGGACGTAGTTTTGCACCGCGGCCGCGGTGTTAATCACATCCGATCTGAACAGATGCAACAAAACGGGTTGCAGAACGTACAAGCAAACAAGATAGGTAGTACTACCATATTGTAGCAAATTTATCATGCGTTGTATATGGTTAGAAATTTATGTTGAAATCCCCTTTGAAATATTTGTATCTGGACCCTCTTAGTTGACGATCATGGTGTGCTTCTATATATGGTCTGAATAATGTAAAGTTCTGCCCCTAATGCACGAATTGAAGCAGTCTTCTTCGATTTGGTGTCCTGTGGCTCAGCCTCTTGTTCGATTATGTGTGAAAGAGGAAGTGCCATAGCAGTAGGATTGTAGGAACCAGGTAGATAGATAGATGCGTACACGTGCTGGTGTTTTTGGCTCTGGGCGGGGATCGATTGAGCTGTGCTCGGGAGTGAGGGCACAGTGGCCTGCCTTTTCGTGTGATTGAACAAGACATATATGGCCCGTCAGGGGGAGCCATGCATGCAACCTTTTGAAGTTTTATGCTTTTCCGGGGCCGGAGCTTTCCGAAGCGCTGCGCTCTTTGGAAATGCACCCATGCATGAACGCATGCATGCATGGGTGGCGTGGTGGATGCCACTGTGGAGATCCCAGTGAAGATCGATCTCTGTACGTAACGTAATCAGATGCATGATGCAACTTTTTGAGACGAATCAGATGCATGCAAGAGCTGATTAGTCAGACCACGGCCGGACATGAGCGTGTGCGTGCAGCTTAGTGTCGTCTGATCGATATGATCGATGCAAAAGCTGAGCCAGCTGCTGCTGCTTTCCTAACACGCCGTGTATCGATCTGGTTCGATCTGATCGATCACCCCCAGTGGCCACTACCATGCATATCGTGGAGGCATGCACTCCAGCTGAGCTGAGTCCTGGCTCCCGGTCGAGCACATGTGGCTCCCGGTCGAACTGTAGATTGGATGTTTTGATCAGGGCAGATGAGCTTTTCTTGATCAGCCGTTTCACACCTGACCAGCTAGCATCGAGGGCTAATATAAGCATGCCGTCGAACCGATCGGGTTTTGCTACACCGCCTTCAATTAGTTCTCGATCGCAGCTTTCAGCGTCCATGACTGCAAGAGACCTGTAGCTTGCCACTGTGTTCTGTCCCTCCCCGATGACAGTTCCACTGTGCAGTGCACGAACCGGACATGCACCACAGACACCCATGTACTACAACACACAACACAAGCAGCACGCAAGCAAGGGGCCAGTATGGAGTACTAGAGCCGTCGCAACCAAAAGCCGTCAACGCTAGCTCACGCGGCTTCTCCGGTGTCGCCCACTGACTGCCGCTGCGTCTGCACGGGGAAAGCCTCTGAGCTATACAGACTGATCCGGCCAAGCCACGTACCGAGGGCGACAGCATCCACGCGCACCTCGAAATGAGCAACGTATTAAACGCAACCCGGCCTGAAGGTGAATAGAACATGCATATGCTCTTCTGATCCATCGATGTCCACACACGGAACCCTTAAACTCTGCCATCAAACTGACAAAACGCAGCATATGATCATGAATCCATGCATGTAGTTCGTACGTACTACCACATAGCAATTATATCAGCCTATCGAGAGCGCAGTACGTGCTAATCAAATGATGCAGCATGCATAGGTTTATCTCTGACGCCTAATTAATATCGATATAGGTTGTTAAAGTAGCTGATGATTAACTTGCTACGTACGCGCGCCGTGCGTACTGTTCTGTGTATGCAGATGCACATGTGGGGCCACGGGTCGCAGTACCGGAAGGGCCCGGAGTCGCTGCGCGGCATCCAACCGACGGCGATGCTGCGGCTGCCGTGCTACTGCTGCGCACCGGGGTGCCGGAACAACGTCGACCACCCGCGCGCCAAGCCGCTCAAGGACTTCCGCACCCTGCAGACGCACTACAAGCGCAAGCACGGCCTCAAGCCCTTCCTCTGCCGCCGCTGCGGCAAGGCCTTCGCCGTCAAGGGCGACTGGCGCACCCACGAGAAGAACTGCGGCAAGCTCTGGTACTGCCTCTGCGGCTCCGAGTTCAAGCACAAGCGCTCCCTCAAGGACCACGCCAGAGCCTTCGGCCAGGGCCACGGCGCGCTCGGCGGCGCCGGGCTCGACGACGACGATGACTGTGCCATCTCCGACGTCGAGCACGACGGTGCCGCCGCGGGCGCCAGGTCGCTCTGAGCGTCACTCACCGATCGGTCTGGCCGTGGTTATGTGCCGCCGTGCCGGCCCGGATGCTCAAAAGATGCTAGCTGTGTGCACATCTGAACTACGCAGTGTATACAAGTCCGAAAACTATCGGCGGTGTATACATACTACAAGCTCACGAGTTGCTCTTTGATTGGGTTTGCTTCTTCTGTTTTTCTCTTCCTACATATCTCGCTTGTATATTAGCTAGGATGAGACCTCAATCAATCGATCATGGAAATGTGTCAACATTTAATTAGCATTTCGCTTGCTTCTAAACCCTCAACTATTACTGCTCTAGAGCTGTGTCCCTTTTTCCTTCAAAACTGAGACGGTGTCTCTAGATTTTGCATCGATCTATTGATGCGCAAGACAATGGGTTACGTGCTTGGTTTGTTCCACATTCTTCAATACCTATATTTTGTTGTGGTTTGTTCCACATTGGTCAATACCAAGGCCATTTGTTGATTGATGCACACGACAATGTTGTAATTTTGTTGTTTTAATAAACCAAGCACGTGAGCCATCAATCAATTTTGCTTGGTTTGTACTTTGGTTTTGAGTATGAAAAATTACAGCGTGTGTAACATAATATAATTTTACTTCTATTTTTGCACTGATCACAATTGGCCATTTTGAATAATAATTATTTACATGCATATAGTTGGCACTATAAGGACACAACTATTCGCAGCTTGAGCTCAAATGAGCCTTCATGAACAGCTTGAGTTCTTTTGAATTTTTTTTTTCAAATTTACTGTTCGCCCGAGGTCAGCTCGGGAGCAAAAGGACACTTTCGGCACTATAAGGGCTTGTTTGGTGCATGGGGAAAAGACAATGGGATCCCTGGGGGGGTAACTCTCCCGGGTTAAATTGGTTGTGCATTTGGCTTACGAGGTAAGAGGGAAATCTCATGCCACCCCGTCTACTCCCTTGGCGAAAATAAACCAGTCCCAATTTGAGGTAATTCCTCATTGCACTTGCGGAAGGTCTGGTGGAGCGTTGCGCCGCGCCTCACACTTCTCCATTAGGTCGTCATGCCTGTTGTGGTGCCCCTCCATGGCATCCCACACGGCAGCTGCATCGAGGAGTAGGCGACCATCTTGATCACCATGACACTAATGAGATCGCAACTGTCCTTGTCGGCCAAGCCCAAGCGTGCAAGCTCAAGGTAGCCTTCACGGCTCAGTTGTTTCCCTCTCGATATGGGAGAACCCATTGGAGCTGATCTAGCTTGTCGATTGTGGAGAGTTTTTTTTAAAGCGTATAGATCAAGAAATACAGTCTTTGCCATGTTGTTCGATCATTCTTAGAGCATCGAAATTTCTCTAACAGCCTGTGTGGTAGTTTGAGGGAAAGGGAATGGGAATTAATAGGGAGGAGTTTGTAGAAGGATAGACTTGGGAAGTGGACTATTTGTTCCGATCCCACGTTTAGTGCGTGTAGGGAATTGCTTGTGGGAATTGGACAAGAAATTAGTCTCCTAAAAAATAAATTAGATCTAAGCAACAAGAGAGAAGGGGGAAAACATGTGTAACGAACATATTCCTTTTATTTTCTTTGTCAACTCCCGTTCCCGGTATGAATTGCCAGGGCCCTCCTAACGTATTTGGCAACTTCAGATTAAGGGAATGGAATTTACAGCGCATTTGGTTGGGGGTAATTAGATCTAGGGAATGAGAATTGAAGGGGTGTGAGTCTTCAAATCTATTGTTTGGTTGGGGGATTGGGAATTCAGAAGTGAATAGGCATGGGACTTTAATTAGACTCCAACTCCACCGTTTTATTAAGAGGAGAGGGTGGGAATTGGAAGGGAATTGTTTTAATGAGTTGATCTTAACCCTTCATCATAACTTACGTTAACTTCCCATGTCTAGGCCCTTGCCAATTTTCATGAACCAAACAAGGGAATACAGTTTCTCCTCAAATCTCACATGTAAATCCTGTTATGTGCCAAACAAATGATTGGGAATAAAACATCTCATCCCATGTCTAATCTCAATACAACTTCCTACTCTAAACTCCCATTCCCCTTCCCAAATATTACCAAACACGGAATTTATTAAAGGATTAGGCTTGGAAAGTTGATTATTAACCCCAATCCCCTGTTTGGTATGTGATGAGGAATTGCTAGTGGGGGTTTGACTGGAAGTTATCTTCCCAGGTTTGGTTCGTAGGTTTTGACGTGGGCAGAAACACAAAACTACACTACGGTGGAATGTGGGCAACGAACTCCCTATCCCTTATTTGAATTACCTGTGTCCTTCTAGGAAGAAAACTGTGGGAGTTTGACATACGAACTCCCTTTCCCCTTCCTACCTGAAATCCCATGTCCTCCAACCAATCAACGGATGGTAAGTCTAACCTCGCCTAAACTCCCATTCCCAGCCTCCAACTTGAAGGAAATATGCCCTAAAGGCAATAATAAAGTTGTTATTTATATTTTCTTATATCATGATAAATGTTTATTATTCATGCTAGAATTGTATTAACCGAAAACTTAGTACATGTGTGAATACATAGACAAACAGAGTGTCTCTAGTATCGGAAAGGTATCTCTGGGTCCTCTCGGTAATGCACATCACTATGAGCCTTGCAAGCAATGTGTCACTGTGTATCGGAAAGGTATCTCTGGGTCCTCTCGGTAATGCACATCACTTGAGTTGGCATAGATCAAGATTAGGATTTGTCACTGTGTATCGGAAAGGTATCTCTGGGTCCTCTCAGTAATGCACATCACTATGAGCCTTGCAAGCAATGTGTATAATGAGTTAGCCATGGGATGATGCATTACGGAACGAGTAAAGAGACTTGCCGGTGACGAGATTGAAATAGGTATGATGATACCGACGATCGAATCTCGGGCAAGTAACATACCGATGACAAAGGGAACAACGTATGTTGTTATGCGGTTTGACTGATAAAGATCTTCGTAGACTATGTAGGAGCCAATATGAGCATCCAGGTTCTGCTATTTGTTATTGACCGGAGATGTGTCTCGGTCATGTCTACATAGTTCTCGAACCCGTAGGGTCCGCATGCTTAATGTTCGATGACGATTTGTATTATGAGTTTTGTGTTTTGATGAACTGAAGTTTGTTCGGAGTCCCGAATGAGAAGACGGACATGACGAGGAGTCTCGAAATGGTCGAGAGGTAAGGTTTCATATATTGGAAGGTAGTATTCGGACATCGGAATGGTTCCAAGTGATTCGGGTTTTTTTCGGAGTACCGAGGGGTTACCGGAACCCGCCTGGGAAGTGTTGGGCCTACATGGGCCTAAGGGAGAGAGAGGGAAGCCCGTGGGGGGGGAGGGGGGGGGCTCCTAGTGAGTCCGAATAGGACAAGGAGGAGGGGGCGCGGTCCTCCTTTCGTCTCCCTCTCCCTCTCCTTTGGGCGAATCCTACTAGGAGTGGTGTCCTAGTAGGACTGCCCCCCATGGCGCGCCCCCTCCTGGCCGGCCGCCTCCTCCTCCCCTCCTTTATATACGGGGGCTGGAGGCACCCCAAAGGGACATCAATTGTTCTCTTAGCCATGTGCGGTGCCCCCTCCACAGTTTACTCCTCCGGTTATAGCATCGTAGTGCTTAGGCGAAGCCCTGCGCGGATCACATCACCATCACCGTCACCACGCTGTCGTGCTGACAGAACTCTCCCTCAACCCTCTGCTGGAGCAAGAGTTCAAGGGACGTCATCGAGCTGAACGTGTGTTGAACACGGAGGTGCCGTACGTTCGGTACTTGGTCGGTTGGATCGCGAAGACGTTTGACTACATCAACCGCGTTAACCTAACGCTTCCGCTTTCGATCTATGAGGGTACGTGGACACACTCTCCCCTCTCGTTGCTATGCATCTCCTAGATAGATCTTGTGTGATCGTAGGAAGTTTTTTGAAATTGCATGCTACGTTCCCCAACAGTGGCATCGGAGCCAGGTCTATGCGTAAATAATATGCACGAGTAGAACACAATGAGTTGTGGGCGATAATAGTCATACTGTTTACCACCAACATCTTATTTTGATTCGGCGGTATTGTTGGATGAAGTGGCCCAGACCAACATTACATGACCACGTTCATGAGACCGGTTCTACCGACGTGCTTTGCACACTGGTGGCTGGCGGGTGTCTGTTGCTCCAACTTTAGTTCAATCATTTGATTACGGCCGGTCCTTGTTGAAGGTTAAAACAACACACTTGACAAAAAATTGTTGTGGTTTTGATGCGTAGGTAAGAACAGTTCTTGCTAGAAGCTCATAGCCGCCACGTAAAACTTGCAACAACAAAGTAGAGGACGTCTAACTTGTTTTTGCAGGGCATTTTGTGATGTGATATGGTCAAGACGTGATGAGATATAAATTGTTGTATGAGATGATCATGTTTTGTAAAAGTTATCGGCAACTGGCAGGAGCCTTATGGTTGTCGCTTTATTGTATGAAATGCAATCGCCATGTAATTGCTTTACTTTATCACTAAGTCGTAGCGATAGTCGTAGAAGCAATAGTTGGCGAGACGACAACGATGCTACGATGGAGATCAAGGTGTCAAGCCAGTGACAATGGAGATCATGACGGTGCTTTGAAGATGGAGATCAAAGGCCCAAAATGATGATGGCCATATCATGTCACATATTTTGATTGCATGTGATGTTTATCTTTTATGCATCTTATTTTGCTTAGTACGGCGGTAGCATTATAAGATGATCCCTCACTAAATTTCAAGGTATAAGTGTTCTCCCTGACTATGCACCGTTGCTACAGTTCGTCGTGTCGAGACACCACGTGATGATCGGGTGTGATAAGCTCTACGTTCACATAAACGGGTGCAAGCCAGTTTTGCACGTGCAGAATACTTTGGTTAAACTTGACGACCCTAGCATATGTAGATATGGCCTCGGAACACTGAGACTGAAAGGTCGAACGTGAATCATATAGTAGATATGATCAACATAGTGATGTTCACCATTGAAAACTACTCCATCTCACGTGATGATCGGACAT